ACCAACAAACAGGGCGGCACGAAATCTGTACCATTAGCACATCTTGTTCTCCATCTTTGGGACTGGTGTATCCCCAGGGGGATTACTCAACTAGCAGTCCATCTTGCCAGGGTCGACAACAAAGAAGCGAATGCTCTCAGCAGATGGATATCAACAACTCACAAGTGGGAGTTGGATCAACAGGTTTGCCACCACCTCTTCCAATGATGGGGCACTCAGGACATAGATCTATTCTCCACATTCGACAACACGATATGCACGAACTACTGCTCCCAGGCAGGCATTGGCCTGAACTTGCTGGGAGACACACTGATGGTGACCTGGGCAAACATGTTCTTTTACATGTTCCCTCTGATACCTCTCATCACAGAGACCTTGGCCAAAATTGCTCAAGACGACACACAAGGCATTCTCATAACACCTTGGTGGCCCCGTCAACCATGGTTTCCCACCATTTTTCGCCTCTCCAGGACCTTCTTCCGTCTTCCTTGGATCCCTCACCTTATTCAGGAGAATGGTGCGATTCGACATCCAGACCTCAACTCCCTGAACCTTATAGCATGCCTCATTCAGTGACTACTGCTTCGTCTTCAGTACCGACGCCTTCATCGAACCCGACGCTGCCTACACAGCCTTCCATCCCAAGGGAATTTTTGGTACTGACACAGACCTTGGATCCTGCTTCAAATCCGAGCATTCTCCATCTGGACATTCAATTTATTCTTCAGTCTGCTCTAAGACCAGCGACTTGACATTCCTATGAGGCTTTGCCTCTTTTGCGACAACCAACCAATTTCTACCACACTTTGCCTCAATTGACAATTTCTTGCTCTTTTTACCATCCTTGCATCAACATGGACTTAAACCCACCTCTGTTAAAGTCTATATCACTGCCATTTCTCACTGTCGTGGACTCATCTCCGGATCCTCTGTATTTTCACATGTTCTCGTTCATCGTTTTCTGAAAGGACTACAGAATCTCTAGCCTCCAATCCATTCAGTGGTACTGACGTGGAGTCTTTCTGTAGTTTTACAGGTGTCTACTAAAGCCCCCTTTGAACCATTAGCTAACACTGATTTGTGCCTTTTATCTTGGAAGGCAGCCTTTCTTGTCACCATCACTTTGGCCAGGAGGGCTAGTGAACTCTGTGCCCTTCATGTTGACCCTCCATATCTTAATTTCCACAAGGAGAAGGTTGTTCTTTGGACTAACCCTGCTTTCCTTCCTAAAGTCACTACGCTTTTTCACATCAATCAGGACATTGTTCTACCAGCCTTCTTTCCTATGCCCTCAATACCAATAGAGCGATCTTTACATTTGCTTGATGTTCGATGCTGTCTGGCCTTCTACTGATCCCGTACGGAGGCCTTCAGGAAAACCAAGTGTCTTTTCATGAAATACTCTGAACATAAGGGCTCAGCTGTCTCTTCCTAGAGACTTTCCAGATGGATTGTCCAGACCATTGAACTGGCATACAATTTGTCAAAATTAGACCTTCCTATCATACCCAAAGGACATTCCACTAGAGCTGTGGCAGCCTCTTCAGCTTTTTCTGCAGGTATCCCATTGCCTGGCATCTGCAAGGTGGCAACATGGACGACCCCCTGTACATTTACTAAACACTTCAGACTCGATGTTCGTGCCAGACAGGACTGCTCCTTTGGTTGTGCGGTCCTTTCTTCCATTCTTCAGTGATGACACCATCCCACCTCCGGGTGTGGTAAGCTTACTCACCCATAATGTGTGATGCACAGAGGCCATGATGAAGAAAGGCAGGTTGCTTACCTGTAACTGTTGTTCTTCGAGTGGCCATCTGTGCATTCACACAACCCACTTGCCAACCCCACTCAGTGTCAGTGATTGGGTTTTTAAAGGCTTTTTCCTTAGCCTACTGTTAATACACCAGTAAACCATGTCTAACTGTCATCTTTTCTTATCGGTATTCCCTTTGAGCATTACCTACTTTTTTGTGTCTCCTGACACTGACTGTTCATCCTTGAGGGGGCGATTGGATGGTCTCCAGTAGACTGGGGAAAATGGTGGGTGTTCCGAACGCCCTTTATATTATAGCAGGGGAGGGGTGCGGAGTTCCCACCAAAATCCGTTAAAACTTTGAATCTTTCCTGGCTACAGGCACTGTGCAGGCACAGCACCCATAATATGTGAATGCACAGATGGCTACTCAAAGAACGATAGTTACAGGTAAGCAACCTGCCTTTCTTACAACAACAACCATATAGATAAGTGATCTAATCTCCATGGGGTGTATTTAACCTATTGTGTGGCTTGATTCACTGGCAGAATGGCATAGAAATATAATAATAATAATAATAATAATAATAATAATAATAATAATAATAATAATTTCCTTTGCAGCCCAACAGGTCCCCTCAAATTTACTCTGGTGGGTTTGTACGAGGGGCGTTCAATGTATTCTCGGTATCAGGTTGATTTGCTATTGATGTGGGCAATTTAATTATTTCATTAGCTAATGACACTATCTGAGGGTATGCATACAAAATTTCAAATAAGTGTGATCATTAGTTCCCTAGTAATCCTCAGTGAAAGACAACCATGATGACTGATGCAACAATGTTGAAGAAAATCAAGCACTGCGCTGTGATAAAGTTCCTTACAAAACAAGGAAAAAGTCAAAAAATCATTCACAAAGAGATGGTGGCCATTTACCAGGACTCTGCACCTTCATTATCTACTGTTTAAAAGTGGTCATGTGAATTTAAAAGGGGCAGAGAAAACATTCAAGACGACCCTCACTCGGGCAGGCGGGTTACTGCCACTACAAAAGAAAATGTGAAAAAAATTGAGAAATTTGTATCGGAAGATGCCCGAATAAAAATAAAAATGTTAGCAGAGATGACAAACCTATCCGTTGGTACCATATTTACTATTTTTCATGACCATCTTAACCTTTCAAAGGTCTGTGCAAGATGGGTGCCGCGAATGCTCATGGCACCTCAGAAACAAGTGCGAGTCGAGTGCTGTAGGGAGTTTTTAGAGCTCTGTGGTGAAGATCCATCGAGTATTTTCT